AGAACTCACCAGTGTTGTGGGTAAGACCTGCCTTTAAAGTGACCTTCTCAACCCAGCATGATCCAGCTCACAGAGCATGTACTGGCTACACCAGGACACCCCCAAATTAGCTTTCGCAACTGCTTCCTCAGTGTTTGATTTCAACAGCATGAGTCAACAGAGTCTAACATCATTATGTACTTCAGTGGCACTGGCAGGAGGAAAAAAATATGGTCCAGCTCAGCAATGGTATTAAGGAGAGTAACTGCTACTGGTACTAAAGGAGATGGGGACCTCGGGAAGAATTAGGCAACCTAAAGGAATTTTCATATCTGCATTTTTTTGCTGATATATTTCAGGCAACTGTTTTCATACATTAATCTACAAGCCTGTATTTGAGTTTCATAGATTTGTGTTGATTTGCTTTGTGTTTTTGTTGATATTTAATTGTCTAGGGAACGGTTTCTGAAGCTGGGCTTACTTGTATTTAGTATTAATATAATGACATCGCAGTAAGTGTAAATGGCACTGTAGAGATGAGTTAAAACAGCAGGTCTTTGCTCTAAAAAGCTTAAAAATAACAAGCTAGCTCCACTTTACTGCACTGACTTGATGGGGGCAGATTTTGGCCTTACATTAGACAAAACATAGTTCAGAACAAATAAATGTACAGGAAGGACTGAAGCAGTTCCCAGTCACCTTTCAAATTCATATCTGTTTAGTAGAAGATTTCTTGTTCTAGGTTAGTATGCAACATAACATAAAGCTTGGTCTTTGCCTGTTATTTATTTTTAGTGGATGATGGGAAAAGTGAGATTAGCAGACATCATGCAACCTGACAACACAAATAAGCCCCTGAGAAAACGAAAGCTGGCAAACAAACAGCCCATGTACAGCATAAACACAAATTCTTCAGGAAAATGCAGGTGTTTTAAGGACAGGGTTTTTAACACCCTGAACTCACATACATACTTTCATTTATTGTGGGTTAGAGAATTTTGCAGAAAGTCTCTGGCATAGCCCATTAACGGCTTTGGAAGAAGCAAACTTGTACTAGAGACATCATAAACCAGACAGCAGAAGCTCAGATGATTTCTAATTTCACAGCAACAACCAAAATCAGATTTCATTAATATAAAACACTGGGGTTTTTATTTACTATTATTTCTAATAACATTTATTAGAAATAATGTTCCCTGTTAAAGGATAATGAAATTCACAGACTGCCACATGGATCAAGTTAGAAATCTTTTCAAAAACCACTCATGCAAAATCTGCACAAGTTCAGTGATGGTTAATGGATCAGGAGGATCCCCAAAGGAGTATGCCAGAATCCTCCTGCACAAGACGGTAGAAAATGGGACTGCAGAGCTGAAAGTTGTGAGAAAACAGAAGCTGAGTCGTCCTCTACATGTGAGGGCTGAGGCTACAGAAAATCCATGTTTCCTTTGTTCTTTCAGGTCCCAATTCCCATGTCAAGTCATGTTGTGCTCAGGGCAGGATCTGAGAGTTAAAGTCAGTAAGTCACCCTTTTGTTTGACTTTTTATTTTCAGGCTGCTGTGAAAGGATGTAATTTAGAGCAAGGAGTTTTGGATATGGTTCAGACTACCTTTTGCTAAAACTTTCAATAACAGTGGAACAGCCTCACTAGAAATATCATCAGAAGTTTTTTATAAGTATTATTAAACACCAAAGGATGAGAATTTTAGCCATAAAAACACTTGATGTTTGAACTGAGATTCTCTCCCAAGCTGTTGCATACAACTAAAACCAAGGGATGGCTTTTACAAGGGGAGAAGCAATTTAAGACATTAAAATGTCATTTTAGTTGTCAGACAATTCTGTCTGGCCCCCTATGCAATACACCATTTGCACTTTCCATATTATAATAAAAATTATGTATACTGAGGTATTTAATAGGCAATCATG